AATAAATTCCTATATTTCCGGTTAATAACACCTCACTGCCAATAAACCCCACACCAATTTCATTTGCAAATGTCAAATCCATGAGTATTCCGTTTTTAAAACTAAAAGCACCTTTACAAAAATCACCAAATTTACGCCTTTTTCCCTTGGGGATAAAGATAAATGGAACTGGAGCATATTTCAAAATAGAAAAGAAATAGTTACCATTAACTTTATCCAATAGTTTAATATCGTTACACTCAACATCCGATTTATAAACACCTTCAGTATCATTAACGGTAATATGCTTTGTATACTTTAGTGCAGAAGAATAAAAAAATGTATACATGTAATACTCATGGGTTTGCTTAAAAAAATTACATAGAGTTTTGGGTTGATCCATGTGTCTCTTCATAAGCTCTGGAAATAAAAATATAGGAATTTATTTCATTGGTTTTATCTATGAAATATTTGTTAACTGAGATGTATAATTTATATTCCTAAGATTGTATAAGTATTAATAGTCAGTTTATCAAATGTATATCCTCTTAAATGACTAGTATAGTAATATTAAATGTAAAGATTATCAACAAAACTGGACAATAAAAAGATTGTAATTGATCGGTCCTGCAAATAAGAAAAGTCACAAAACATTTATAAATAAAACTTTTACTGAAATTAATGTTTTGGAAAGATATTACAATCATTCTACCTTTATAATTCATTGATTTCACTCACCGTATTTTAAGTCATGTAGAATTGGTGAATAGCCATATTAATACACTTCATTAAAAGCTAACTAAAAGGAATACGATTAATTTGTATTTTATTATGTTTTATCGACGAAACCATATAGCAATACACAAATAATTGCATATAATATTACTATCTAAAAAAACTTACAATATTTTCAACAGTTTCTTTAAATTAGTTTATTCTAATTTCTTAACTTTATGGATATTACCCCCGGTAGTAGTCATATGCTTTTCATATTGCTCAGAGAACATAGCATTACTTATTCTGATAATTTCATCCAACTCAGCCTGATCTTCTGGTCTAACTTTTTCTATAGCTACTGCACAAGTTCTCTTCAAGTGTACCAACGAACCCAATTTCTCCTTGGAGTCAACAATAGCATAAGGAATATTTAATTTCTTACATAGAGTTGGTAAGAATATGACTGTTGTTATAGGAGTAACATTTGCGGCAATAACAACAAATGTAACTTTTTTTTGAGAGATCAATTCTACTAAATGTTTAAGACCTGATTTTAACAAAAGTGGCTTAGGGCCCTCTTTTGGATTTTCCTTGCTTAATCTTTCTTTCTTTTCAAGCCTGGTTTCCTTTGAATATTTTTTAAACAGATTCATAATTCTATCAAATTCAATACTTTCCAGTTTTGTGTTAAATTGATTTATAGGCGCTGGGATTTTAATAGCAGTTCTCAATTTGAATAGTTTGTTTTTAAGGGCTTCTTCCCTTAAAATAGGATCTTCCTTCTTTACCATTTTAATCCTCTTTTCTGATTTACCCAAAACCATTTTGGGGTAGCCAACAAATTTTTTACAAAATAACTTTCTGTAGAATTAATAACTCCAAGTTATTGTAAAACTATGGACTGGCTAGATATGTTGAGATTAGTTGGATATTGTGTGAATTTATGAGATATCTTTATAAAGTCCATAATTTTTTTATTTAAAATATAGCATTCCAATCATTTCTTTGATACACCAATTTTTAATCATGCCCTTTTACCAATGTTAATCCGTCTTACAACTCACATACCATCAGGATTTATTCCAATTACTGATAATACGCACAATGTATCCCCCTCATCAAATACTTGTTTAGTGTTTACTACGGGGACAGTTACTATTCGTCTACTTGCAGATTTATCTCTTACTGACAAAACTGTTGTTGTATGTGTAAAGAATATGGAATATTTTCTGTATAAAATGAGACATATTAGAGATGTAAAATATGAAAGATATTCTGAAGAAAATTTGATAAAAGTTAGAGTAAAAGACAGAGTAGAAAAATATTTGGAATTAGAGAGAAAGTATAAAATCCTTTGTAGCAAAACCATAGATAATAAAACATCTAACTGCAAGGACAAAGTTCTTAGTATTTCATTTTCACCTGATATCATTTCCTCTATTTTTTCTTCTTTACATTCTCCTTCACTTTACTTAACGAAGAACTCATTGGTTCATATAGTTTTCAAATTATTAAAGAAAGCTCCGAGGAACTTAAGTGAAATAAGGAAGGAGATTGCTAAAGAATACGGAAATAAAGATGATGATACTCTTAAAGTGGAGTCTATTATAAAAAGTTTGTTATTTTCAGGTGTAATAAAAAATAAGGAGGGAAAGTACATAATAAATTATTAAGAAAGTTTTTGATGGAATAAAACAATATAAAAAGTAGAGCTATAACTCCAAAGCAAAGTACAAACTTAATCTTATTTTTTGCTTTTTTAGCCCTTCTATGAATTTTATTATTCAAGCTCCTAAAGGAATTCCATTATCTATGCTACCAGATGAAATCCCGATAGATAAAATATTTGTAATAAATGGAATAGAATATATTTTAAGCAAATCAGATTGTAATTATAAAGTGGCCAATGAGGGAGAATCTTGCGAAGAAGTAAACGGTTATTATATATTGAAAAGAAAATAGCCAAAAGTATGTGATTTCCATTAATTGGTACCACTTTAACAGTTATTATTATTAGGCTTACTATGCTGTGCATTTATTAATGCTTTAAATGAATCAATGAAACTCGTATGAGAATAGTTAATACAGGGAAAGATTTCGCAGCGTCAATCGAATAAATTAATATTACGTATTACACTTTTGTTTGTTTGAACTTATTTAAAAATATTTTAGACCCATAATTTGTTTATGCGTCAAATAATAGAACATCTAACTGAAGAAAGAGTAAAAACATATACAAAGGAAGTCACAGTTATGGAATTAGAAAATACCAATAATCTATCTGTTCTGTATGATTTTAGTAAAACCCATTTTACTAATCAGGAATTTAATAAAATCAAAGAAGATATTTCTAAGAGCGAATTTGATCAGAAATTGAAAGATTTGATAGGAGGAGAGTGTGTGAATTATACTGAAGAAAGACCTGTATTACATTATAAGCTAAGAAGGAATATAGGAACTAATCACATGACCAATGATAACTATTCCAAGGTTATTGATCAGGAGTTGTCAAGAATGAAGCAGTTTGAAGAAAATTTCAACAGTATGAGAGGCTATACCGATAAACCCTTAAACAGAATAGTAAATATTGGAATTGGGGGCTCTGATTTAGGTCCGAGATTTATAAATGATGCATTATCTTATTACAAAAAGAGAGACGTGCAGTTCTTTTCTAATGTCGACAGTAGTGATTATTTTAGAAATGAAATCCAATACAAAAATAATGAATGTAACAATATTTCTTCCAACTCCTTGGAAAATACACTTTTTATTATCGTGAGTAAGAGTTTTACTACGATAGAAACTATTGAAAATATGAAATTAATAGTTGAAGAATTTAAGAGGGTAAACAACATTACCAAATGTTTAACTAGTAGCAGTTCAGACGACAAGAAAATTGAAGATTTTATTAAGTTACATTTCGTTGCTGTAACAGCTGTGGAATCACCTGAAATATTCAATATTCCTATTACTCGTTTTGCTATGTGGGATTTTGTCGGAGGTAGATATTCTCTATGGTCTGCTGTGGGATTGAGCATAGTTCTTGGTGTGGGATTTGATGTGTTTGAAAAGTTGCTTTTTGGTGGAAAACAAGCTGATGAACACTTTTTCAATGAAAAACTGGAGAGTATACCAGCAATGATGGCGGTTACGGAAATATACTATAGAAAAGTGATTGATGATCAAAAGCATGCGGATATTGATAATGAAATTAAATATTCTAGTTATTGGAACAATAAGTGCATTGTGGCCTATGATAGTCATTTGAGCCTATTACATAAGTATTTGCAACAAGCAGAAATGGAATCGAATGGTAAGAACTATTCAGGCCAAAAAATTATTTGGGGTGGAACTGGAACTGATGTACAACATTCTTTTTTTCAAATGTTGCATCAAAATGACGAAAAAATATATTTAGAGGTATTGCTGCCAAAGGAGTGTTTATATGATGATAGAAATAACTTGGTAAGGAAACATCATAGGCTATTAATAGCAAACTGTTTAGCACAAACTAGGGCACTTATGGTTGGAAAAGAACTGGATGGCAATACCCCTGATTGGCTTAAGTTTAAAGGTAATAAACCTAGTACCACTATTCTCTATACTAAACTAACACCTGAGGTGTTAGGATTTATTATTGCAACCTATGAACATAAGATATTTATCGAAGGTGTGTATTGGAAGATAAATTCATTTGATCAGTTTGGTGTACAATTGGGTAAAAAGCTGGCTATGGAAATATATGAAAACAAAGGTGAAATGGATGAGAGTACAAAAAATCTATTGAAGGAGATCAATTATTAATAAATTTTGCTAAGCACTATTGTAATTTATTGCTGTTTGCATATCTAAATAATATATCAATGTTTTGGGTATATCACAACTTATATATTGCAGATTCATAAAAATTAGTTTTCAATATATCAGCATATTGATTGTATTTTCAGTTTCTAGAGCACTGCATAAAGTAATTTCATTCCACACCCCTTGAAAGATGCCTAGCCATGAAAAGCTATTATCACAAATGAGAAGTTACCAAAGAAGATTAGAAACATTTAAAACTTGGCCCAGACGCTTTCCAGTTCAATTTATTCACAAATTAGCCATTATGGGTCAGTTTTCAGTATCAGAAGAAAATTCATTTATTCATAAATCTATGTGCATCTACTGTAAAAAAATTAGTAATCCGTGGCGCATTAATGATGATCCATTTTTATCACACCAAGAGAATAGATGTCTGATTTATAACATACATATAGTCAAAAATAGAGCCAAATTTAATGCTATTTGTAATTTTCATTGCACTTGTAAGGCTCTCTGCATAGAATTGAAGGAAAATATCAAATTTATTTTCTGTGCAGTATGTGGAAAAGTAAACTCTGGCCACGAAAAAGGCTCAGAGCGTACAAATATAGAAGTTTCAGACAAGAGGTTCCACCAAAATTCCACTATTCGAAAGACCAATCCCCTTTCTGAGAACCTATCATTTCTGTCACGAAATATCAAGGATGAAAACGTTTTAGATGAGTCGAGGTCGGAATTAGGAGATAACTCTATCTTTTATGAAACATTTTTTCAACACAAATGCTGTAGTTGTACCCGAATAAAGAGATTGAAATCAAGTAACCGAAGGAATGAGAACTATTATGTGGAAGTATTCAGTGGACACTTTTGTGATGAAATCAGTGCTTATTTGGAAAATCGAAGTATATTCATTCCGGATGAGAAGATAGAATTAATAAGATATATTATTGCCAATGCAGACGTGTCACTATTAGCGAGTGCTCAAGAAGCTGTAGAAGAAGGTTTAAAAAAACTATCACAAGAGTTGGAAATGGAACTGAAAGAAGAAGAAATACAATTAACAGAAAACATTTTAAATATTACGAATGGAGATTCACTTGAAAAATAAATATATCCAATAATTGAAAATTCTGAATCAAACTAAGCAAAAATGTTGGTGTGATTGTTTGATAAGTTAAATTTATTTAGAAATAACTCCATACTTGGCTTCAAAAGCAGCCTTTTCTTTCATAAATTTTTCCTTTCTAGCAACCTTCTGCTTCTGATATTCCTCATATTGTTTCTTCTTCTTTTCCCTATCAAGTCCTTTAACTTTAATGTTTGGAATTTCCTCTATCGATTGTCCATTTTCAACAAAAAGTTTTTTTAAAAATTCATTTACGTCATCGTCATCTTCAGCCATTCCAAGAGTTGCCCTCAATTTATGAATCTTTTTTGGTAAATTGGTTTTACTCTTGAATTCATTTGTTAATCCTGGGACGAGGGTGGATTCGTCAACCTTTACAAGAACCAAATTAACAACTTGTGTTTCAGTAGAAATGATAGATCCTCTAACAGTTTTTCTAACTCTTACACCAAATCTTCTACATCTGTAGCCTACATCATCTTTGCGCAAGAGTAATCTAATTCTTTTTGGTGTATCTTGCTTTGGAACCATGCATACACCCTGATAGTCGTTACCGCCATTAATTTGAAGAATACAATTCTTAAATTCCTCACCAATCAGAGCCCCATCGAATTGTTCACCAATTTTCCTACCATACAGTTTCTGTTCATCTTTAGCCTTGATTTCTTTGCAAAGCTGAGTGCCATTTGCTGGATATGCAATATTTAGCTTCATAGGGGCAACAAAAGAAATTAGAAAATTTTGAGAAAATTTTTTAATGAAATAAAACAATGGATAACACTGTTATGAAAAGATTTAAAAAGATTTGGAAATAACCTTTTAAAGTTAAGTACAGAAACATAGATTGGAATACTTTAATATAGATACAGCAGCATCACCTATATACATTAGCATATGCTAATCTAATAACAAAGGAGTATACAAAGAAATCAAAATCACTTTAAATATTGGTATAGAGATGAATAAGGATATTCAGGAAATATATTGTGATCTCTGCATCACTTTCTGATTAATTGATAGAGTTGTTTTCATAATATAAAAAATAAACATCACTCATCTTTTAAAAAATTTCTGCTTAAGGTTTATTCTGTATAAAGAAGACTTAGCTATTTTAAATTAGATTTAATGTTTTGGTCTAAGATTGGAGTTTTTATCAAAAAAATTAATGCTATTTTCACACCATATTGATATAGTTTATTTAGAATTAAACTAATGCTTTTTTGATCAAAATTGATGAATACTCTGTGGCAAAATGTCATATTAAAATAATCGGAAAATTTCTTTACAAATGCATAATTCCTCAATATCACATGTTCCACATCAAAGGATTAGTCTTTAATACTCAATGATTTTTATTTAGAGACTTCCTCTCTTATTTCTTTTAAATATTTTACAATTTTCTTATTTGCTTTGAGCATGTTCTCACAACCTTTCATCTCTATAATCAAATCTAAATCGTTCATTATTTCCTTAATTTTTTCAATACATAAATCTATTCTTTCCATTTGGGGTCAAATTTTTTTAAAATATTAAGACCTTTGATCAGGCAATCTAAAATCTTGTTTGTTGCTTTTGATTTTTTTATTATAATGGTTTGAATAACAGATTATATTTGGTTGCTGAGGTTACTTATTTTTAGTAAACATTCCACAGGTGTTGTATTTGGAAGAACAAGATTCTGTAGATTAACTACAAGATTTCTATCATTTTTTGTTTTCTTTTACCCCATCAATGACAATTCCACTTTCTTCATTTTCCTCACCTATTCTAGATCATCTTTTCTTTGCGCTTGCAGGAGTTGACACGACATACATAAAGGTAAAAAGAGTAAACAAAAGCAGAAAAGTAAGCTGCCAAGCTAACGAAGACTTGCCAAACGGCCAAAAGTATGATGATTTTGAATTGTCTGTTTCAACTCTAGATTTTGAAACCATTTCACCATTCTCGTTTTTAATTATAAATATTCGTAGATTTATGAATGTGCCTCTATTAGAGTCAATAATTGATCAGTATTTTAATAAGTTGAGAAAACTAAGACAAACCATAAACATTAGCAACAATTCTTTGATTGAGCAGTTGTATTTAGGAGTTGAAGAGTATTTTGAAATATTTCAAAAGATTCTTCAGAAAGAAAATGATATAAATAAAGTAACAGAAAATACCAGTGCTATTAGTGTTGGAATAGCACGCAATCATAATAACAATTCATTTAATTATGGTGGTGATAATGTAGACACTATTTGTAATTTGAATTATTACCATGTTTTAATGTCTGCTACAGACTGGATCAATTATGGGATTATTTCCAAACCAGAGATTATCTCAGTTAACAATTATTGTGAATTTAATAAGTGTCTTTATGATGACATGTTCACCGTGAATGAGAATATATCAGATAGCAACTTTGGGAGTATTTTACCAGTTATGGATTCCATTTTAGAATGTGGTAAAATAGTATATTTCATACGCAGTGTTTATGAAATAGATGTGAGTAGTAATAAAAACGTGAATGTAGACAATGCCTCTAATAACATCAAGAATCCTGGATTTTTAGATTTATCAAATATCACCTTATTAGCTCTTATCAGAGACAGAGTGTCTAGTTTGACAAATATCTTGGGAACCATTACCTCTGAAATGTATCTAAAGGAATTACAATGCTTGTATGATTATATTTTATTAAGACGGGCTACTTTTCTGTATGAAATATTTCGAGAAATAAATAATTTACAGAATGAGACCATTACTATCATCGATAAGAAGGTGGTACGTTCGAATGTAGTAGAAGAGAACATTACATCTAATTTTGATAGAATTAAAGGGTTCTTCAAAAATAATAATTCAACAGATTTGGTTGAAATTTCTAAATATAATCAAAGTATTGATGAATATATATTGCAGCTGCACAATATGAATTCTCTAACGGTTGGTAATTATATTGGATCCAATATTTTTCTTAATTTTACTCCAAAATTGTTAAAGTTCTTTTTAACTCCTCAATTACTTCAAGAAATCAATATTTTAAGCAGATTCTTAATCCAGGCTTATTTTATGGAGTATGATTTAAGTACGATTATTGATCAAAACAGGATCATCACTGATCAGAATAGCATAGTGGATGATCAAGTCAAAAGTTTTCGATCGATGAAAATTGTTTTGATAATTTTAAGAAATTGCATTATGGATTTGAATATAGAACATAAAGATAATCTGTCGGGTCATTGTTCAATTGTGGAAATTGGTCAAGTTCTTAAGAAGCAAATTAAAGAGCTGCTGACCTATATTTCATTAACAAATGGAAGTAGTTTCATTCACTGGGTAAATTTACATAATATAATTAAAAACTTTATTGAAATTAATAGTAATGATATAAGGAAGAGTATTGCCATAGACAGTGGGGCTGTTGTTGAGCATAACAATATGATTGGCTATAAGGACGACTCCAGTAGTGATATATCACGTACGGCTCCTATTTATAAAAGTATTATCAATGTTTTGGATAAAATTGTAAAGTGTTCTAATAATAAGATAAGCGAATATATTCAATCTTTAAATTACAGAGAATATATATTAAAAGAAAATATATATTGTGAGAAATACCAACTTTCACTCAAATTTATTAAGCTTTAATCTGGACCAAAAGGTTGGGATTCTTGAGAATGAATCATAGTTTAAATAGTGAGATAATTAAATGCAAATTGTTGAATATGATTTATTTGGTTGTTTTTTCCTTAAGAATTTATTTCTCAAACATTTGCATAAGAATCGTCAATGATTAGGGATGACTTTATGATAACTTTTCAATACAATATTACTAAGTTGTAATTAAATTTGTTAAAGTATATTGTAGATAATTGATTAGATGCTAAAATAT